TAACTTGTTGAAAAATTAACTTTAAGTAAAATTTCCAACGGGAATAAATTAATTATAGTGTTCAGAACACACCATAATTTTTTCAAATTTAAAAAAAAATATTCAATACCTTAAATAAATTAATTAATGTGCCGTAGTCGCTTTTGACGCCACGCGCGAATCCTAAAAATGTCACGCACAGACCTATTTTCAGCGTTAAATTAAAGTTATAAATAATGGAGATAGAGTTCCGGGAGCTGAGAGTTTTTATTGGAAATTTCCTCCTCTTTCAGAATCTTTATTTGAAATTTCTTAAATATTAATAGTTTATTAAATATTGGCAAAAAACTAAATTCCATTTTTTTTCATCTTTAATGGTCTATAACTTTTGCAATTTTTTATGTGCTAATACACGCTTTTAGCACATTTTTCTAGGCGTCATTCCGGTTCGAATGAGCTATCGCACATAATTTTAAGAGCAGTATCTCTATTTTGTTCCATTTTCAACTTGTCGACTAGACTATACCGTCAATTTGTATTTGACTTTTATAATGTTAATAGGTTTTTACGATCATTATGTATGCTCCACGATTAATCAATGGCTTGAGCGATTTGAATACTTTTGAGGCCATATGTTGCTTGCAAGCTGAAAGCTTTTGTGTTGAATTAAATGGGAAACAGCGTGTAAATCTGACGAAATAATCAAATCTTGAATATTGATCTGTTGTTAATATAAATTTATTTTAATGATCTATTTAAAATGTTCTAGAATTATTTTTATCAAGCTGAGGATTATCATAATATAATTGATGTTGTTTTAGACGTCTTAGAGGTGAGCTTTTTTAGCGGGTTGGGCGGCTTATAGGTAGTCACTGTAATAAACTCGCACTTTGTACATTAAGCACGTAGATAAAAACTGAATGATAAAATGGATTAAAATTACCTCAAATCCAGATATCTATGACAAATACAGTTGGGCTATAGCTGACAACTTAAGTATCGTTAATGCCGTTTGTACACTCGAACCTGGAACAAACAAAATTAATCTATATTATTATATATACATTTAATGTAGAACCTTCGCGACCCAACATTATTAATGAACTTGAATATAATAATTTTATTTATTATAAATTCAAAAACTAATAATATAACGCGACGCCTAAGGTGTATAATTTATTATAATTTCATGTTAATGTCAAGGTTATTATTGAAGATAGCTAAATATACGAAACCGACGAAGGCTGTGTATTGGTTTATAAAGATTTGAAATATATTTTTGAATTGATGTCCAGATTAAGCATTCTGATAAACTAGGTCTGGATATCCATAGTTGCTCCCCTCACACTTTAAAATAGATTTTTGTTAAGTTTTTTGTAATTTTAATTTTTTTGATTAGTAATTGCTTTTTGTGTTATGTTTGCTTTGTTTAATAATTGTTTTGATTGATATTTGTATGATCTCTACATGTATGTCATGTTTGCCTTTAAGTGCTTGTCACAATTAAAAATTGTACTCTGTGTTAGTTTTTACCAATGTATCAGTGTGCCAAGCGTTGGCAAGCTTTTTATCAATAAAAAAAATACAGATTAATGTGTTCAGCTAAAAGACTGGCTTCAGCAGCACACATCAACACATCTTACGCAGAGTTGGAGATGCTACTAAGACCTAACATATAATAACACACTCAAAAACCTTACTCTCACTTATTCACTCACATACACATGAACTCACACAGTCATACGTGTACGTGAGTCGACGGCTCATTGGTCTAGTGGTTAGTACCCCTGACTGCGAATCCATGGGTCCCGGGTTTGATCCCCGGCTGAGACAAACATCGATGTGATGAGCATTTGGTGTTGTGCTTAGGTCTTGGGTGTTTAAATATGTATTTATGTGTCTATTTATCTATAATATGTATGTATAATGTATATCCGTTGCCTAGTACCCATAACACAAGCTTCACCAGCTTAGCATGGGACTAGGTCAATTGGTGTGAATTGTCCAATCATATAAAAAAATAAAAATAAAATACACTTCATTTTTGGTATATAAATGAGACAAATGTGTAATTTGTAACTTGTAAAAAATTTTTAGTAAAATTTATAATTGTAAAAAGAAAATGTTTCCATAAAATTTGGAACGTCTTAAAAGTATTAAGTTTGCTATGGAAGAACTATTAGGGTTCCGAATTAAGTATTTTTTTACTTAAAAGGGCCCCAATTCAAACAATTGCATGCATAATTTTACATATAAAGAATGAATACATTTTTGTTTTTAAATTACTTAATACTTATCTTAATATATATAAATTACGTGTCACGTTGTTTGTCCGCTATGGACTCCTAAACTACTGAACCGATATCAATCAAATTTGCACAACGTGTGTAGTTTGATCCAACTTAAAAGATAGGATAGCTTACATCTCAATTTATACCCTCAATATTATTTTATTGCAAAATATTTGTTTATTATTTAATAGTCACAATTCTAACAGACACACTGTGTTGAATGTACCAACGTTTTACATAAGCTACAATGTAATGCCATAACCACCAATAAAGCATGGTGGTCCCCATGACTGGTGTTCTCCTACCGTTTCCCTTGAATAGTTTACTACTATGTAATATATCAAAAACCTTAGCCACAGCAACGCTTGGCCAGTCTTCTAGTTAAATTATATATTATACTAATTAAATGCAGATAATTCTGATGCCTCGTCCATGTATAGCAACAAATTAAAGCAGCAAACAGAAAGTTCCTACATAACCTTTTTACAAACATCTATTCATGTCACCAAAGCGTTAATAATATTCTCCCCATTACATTATAACATTTTACAATAGCATAGTAAATTGGGACAGATTCCAGTGCACAATTCGTCCGACAGTGTAGCGGAAATGCATTCAGTGCGCACTATAGTCCTGGGTATTAGCGCTATGTAAATGGGACGCCCGTATCAACTGACATGATTCCGAAAGGAATTTATCTTTATCCCTCTAAAATATCGGCAAACTGTCCTGAGTTTATTATATATTATATTAAATACGAGTTCGTGTCCGCTCTTAGATTAGTTATGGTTATTTATACTATTTGGAAAATGTAAAGATTACCATACATCTGATTTAAGCACATAAATCTGGAAAGATGTTATGTATAAGGAAATAATTTTTGTTCTAATTTTTATAGGTAATCCGCGTTGAAAGAAAACACTTTTAAACCGGATTGAAGTTATGTATTATTATAAATTTACAATTACTTTACATAATTTTAAATTTAACCGACGTTTCGCGTGCTTTACAGCGTGCAAAAAACTGTTTTCTTTAAATGTGTAAAGGTTGTGTACAACTCAGTCTTCATGAATCCATTTGCGAGATTTCGTTTTTATTTTGTAAGCTTATTAGCCGGCTCTTACGACCCTGAGATTGTGTGGCTGAACTCTAAAGGACGTTTCGATTTATGCGCGATCTATTCTTGTATATACGGTGAAAACAAACTGCGGTATTATAATGTCTTTTTCTTGTCTTAGTCAAATTACATATGTATTATGTAAATGTCAATTATTTTTAAATCTTCGTATGAAGTGTAAAGAGTCTGAGTAGACCGATCATGCTGCTTTATGGATTCTATGACACCTGAATCACCAACAACGTTAAATATAGCAATTAATTAATCAAAATACAAATTAAACCCGTAAAACGTCTAACAATTTATAATCCTAAGTGGAGATTGATAGCCGTTAATTGAAAATATACTTTAGAAAATCTCGTTAAGGATTTAAACAACAAATTAATTGATGAAATTAAACACTTGCTTAAATATTTTGTTCGTTTGTTGTCAGATATTGATTCAAACGCTTTTTTTTATATATTTATGGTAGTCTATCTTTGTATTAAACAAAAACTGCAAATGAACTTTTTTGTTTTACTTTTACATAGATTTTTTATAAATTACACTTTCTACATATTTGTTTTGTTTTGTTTGCTAAATGCCCCACTCAGTGAATAATCCTTTTAGTGTAACATTTAAATGCCATCAAAAGTATAACTTGTAAAAAAACTAAGTTCTTCTATCGTAAAAAGTTGTGAAATCCATGTAATGCCAAGTCGGTTAATTTATACAGTCCCTACTTAAGGGAGCGTCTGTCGCAAGTTATTACGTAATTAGCAAACCTAATAACATCTTATACTGACCATATCAATATTAAATATCTTTTATGTTTTAAATTTGACGACTCATTGGTCTAGTGGTTAGTACCCCTGACTGCGAATCCATGGGTCCCGGGTTCGATCCCCGGCTGAGACGAACATCGATGTGATGAGCATTTGGTGTTGTGCTTAGTTCTTGGGTGCTTAAATATGTATTTATATGTCTATCTATCTATAATATGTATGTAATATGTATATCCGTTGCCTAGAACCCATAATACAAGCTTCACCAGCTTAGCATGGGACTAGGTCAAATGGTGTGAATTGTCTTAAAAAAAAAAATTACTGTACAATTAATTTAAGATATAATTTTTTACTTCTGAGATACGTTGTGTTTTCATGTGTTTCACTGTTTGTATTTTAAATTTAAAACTTATATAATATTAATAATTTATTGCAAGAATATGGTGCAAAAATGTGTAAGGTGGTACAATAGTAAATTCGCATATTCTGCCACAAAATGGCGCGCAAATTTGTCTTTAAAAAACTATGTCTGCTAGAAGATACAGTTCTGATGATCGGTCAGTCAGTCAATCAATAGATATAAAATAGATAGTGATAAAATTAAGAAAAACAGTTAAAAACCATAAACTACTGAACTTTGAATACTCTGTGTTTATACAATGCCGGCTTGGTCACAGTTTTATCCACAAAGCTTTTTTGCTCGACTTGGCAGTTATTGTCTTAAAAGTTATGACAAAAGAATTTCAATCACTTTAAGACACTATTAACATGACATACACACAGCAGATTTTTTCTGAAAATGTTCCTTCAAAAGAAGTCAGGCATAGATATTTCTAATAAGATAAATATTTAATATTTACCTCTTGAACCAACAGCGGCTGCTAACTGCATGTCTGCAGCGGTTGGCATCTCTGGCGTCGTACTGATAGGACCTGGAGACAACGATATTAAAAAAAATGTGTGCGTATACTAGGTGTACACACGTAAGAAGTGAAACTTATATAAAACCTTTGTTGTACGCAGAGCCATAATTGGTTTGTTTTAAGTTTAGAGGTCCGAAACTATTTCTTTAAACACAGTAAATTTTGATACACTGCCTAGCATACAATTTACAAATTAATTGCTGCAAATTGCGATTAGCAAATTTCAAGTCGAAAATGTAATCCGTTGTCAAACTTCAAAGTCAAAAACATACTATATGTCATATTTTAACGCCGATAAAGAAGTTTGACTTCGAAAATGTAATCCGTTGTCAAACTTCAAAGTCAAAAACATACTATATGTCATATTTTAACGCCGATAAAGAAGTTTGACTTCAAAAAGCAACATGGCGCGTAACGGAAAAATGTGACGCGTAACGCAAAAATGTTACACTAATTTTTTTTCCAACCCCGATAAAGAAGTTTCACTTCAAAAATAAAAATAAAAAACAATACTTATTTAAGGTACTTAATCACGTCATACCTGTGTAGATTACATAACACAACACATAAGCTAGATGACAGTTCAGTAGTCTCTAAATGTCAAAGCCAAAAATCATTTATTCATATAGGTAACACAATGTACACTTATGAACGTCAAAAAATAAATATAAATTAAATGCTTCTAATTTTACATTTAGTGCCAGTTCTCAAATCAAGGGCTTAGAACTGAAGAGAAGAACTGGCAATAAACTCTCCGCCACTTTTTTTTCTCTCTGATTGACGCCTGCGCTGACTTATTTTAAAGTAAAATCCAAATGTCGGATGACGACAGTGATAACTATTTGGCTAATATTTATGGACTCGAATCTGCGTCACATATAGTACCTTGCATCGGTTGTGCACCTTTATAATAGTTATATCGAACTTAAATACATTACAACCGAAAAACAATACGATATCACAACAAATAAAACTTGTCAACAGAGGGAACATTAATTAATAAAAGCTGGTTTTCCTCATTTCTATAAGAGAATTTTTCCAACAATAGCTTAAACGAAGCATAAAATTATTCGCGAGGACTGCAGGAAATGTGCCATCCTCCCCGTTTAGATAGCTGGCCAAACTTGCCGCTGATAAAAAGCTTAAAGCGTTACCACAATTTATATCCGAAATTGTTATTTTCATGCCTACCTTAAGACACGTTTCTTTCTTCCGCTTTAATGACCAATTAAGCGCTTAAATTGCTCGTTTTCACACGTAAATGTAACAAGACGATATCTGTTCTTAATTAAGATTATTCAAGATGTTGTTATACTTATACTGAACTGTTGCTCTATGAATTTCATTCTCTATTAATTACATACTCTACATTTAAATTAGGCAATTTATCTCCAGATATAATACTTTATTAGAACATCATCTACCTATATTACAAATTGTATTTAATAATGTATTGAATTTTTGATGAAATAAAAGTTTAGAAATATTCCTTCGCCGAGAAGAGATGTAGTTAGCAGTACTAATTAGTGCAATCTAATCTAGCGTGTCGGACATAATATTTATCTATCTAAGGATAATGTGGTAGACAAAATATGGTATCCCAAGCTATAAGATTTTTGTGCTTGATTAGTTAGGTCTTTATGAATACATGAAATAAATACATCTCTAAGTACTGAGAGCGAAACCCACAATTCCAAGTATGCCGTCTAAAAGCGAAATACTAGTGAAACGCCGGGGCTGAAGCTTGTGAGCTATAAAGCGCTTAAATTGCTCGTTTTAAATAAACATCTTTGCGGTGCCGACGACGATATCCTGAGACTTTAAATTTTCATTTTCGTGAAAAACTCGCAATTGTGTTTTTATTGCGGTTACAATTGTTTGGCAGTAAAATGTAATGGCGGGATTTGTTTATCTATGTAATTTGTTTTTAATTTACGATTATGATTTTTTTGTTTTGAAACTTGTGATTAAAATAAGAATCGCTGTGCACTTTGTGTCTTCTTTAATAATGCAAAATGCGAATCTATGTTTGGACTTAGTCGGAATAAATGCGATGAACATTTTCTTGCCTCCGGAGTTATTGAGTTATTTCCATTCTTATTTTGAAGGCATGCGTTCGTCTATGGTAAGGTAATATGTATGTATAGTGTGTGAAAAGTAAAGTCATATTACTGCGTTTGTTCATTGAAAGTTTTGATTGTAGAAAGTGGACCAATAAATGCTTATGCAGTCAAAACAATTGTTATATCGCGTATTAAACCCAGGATCTCCAGATTATTTGTATTTAAACTAATCGGCTATGAAGGCGGTCACACCCTTTACAATTCTACACAAACCCCGCAACCACGCAAATTGATAGGGCCAATTTAATAGATCACATTTGACATTTAGATTCATAGTATTGACGACGTTCAGTTCTCATTAAAACAGAAATTGTTTATGTTTAGAATGGTTATTAGTGAAAGTAAATCGTAAAACTGCTTCGTTAAGCAATTGTGCAGTTCTTAAAATAAATGAGTAACATTTAGTATAATATATACTGCTCAAAACAATTAGCGGAACAAGATTTTTCTCCTTTCTATTGCTTAAACTAAAATTAGATTTAAATTAACTTGTACGCTATTTTTTACCTTGTTAATTTGTAAATTACTACAATTAATAAAAAAATTCAATTTGTATTTTTTTTATTAAAAAAAAAATTAAAATGTGCATTGTAGACGAAAAACTAATTGGTGATAAAAAAGGTCCATCAAAGAAATATTCTTATATCGTTTGAATATTCGTCTTTAGTGACTTTCAGTAACGTGTGTGGCCTCCATGAGCCCTAATCACGGCTTGACAACGACGCGGCATGCTTCGTATGATCCTCCGAATATCTTCTTGTGGAATTCGCTCCCATTCTTCAATCAACGCTTCAGTGAGCTGCTGCAGTGTTTGAGGTGCAATCGGACGCTTCCGGATGCGCCTGTCAAGCAAGTCCCAAATGTGTTCAATTGGATTTAGGTCAGAGCTCATGGAAGGCCCATTTACCTGCTGTCGTAAGTAATCTGACGTGATGGCTGCAGTATGCGGCCTGGCATTATCTTGCATTAAAAGAAAATCTGGGCCCATACCATATGCTGCGGGCCAAACATGATCTTCGAGCACATTTTCAATGTAAGTTTGAGCACACAAGCGCCCAGGAACAACGACGAGATCTGTGCGCTCGTCCAAACTAACTCCGCCCCAAACCATCACAGAGCCACATCCAAATTTGTCATATTCCTGGACCGCTGCTGCACTGTATCGCTCGCCTGGGCGTCTGTAAACACGGAGACGACCATCGCAACGTGTTAGACGGAATCGTGATTCGTCAGTAAAAAGCACTGGCCTCCAATGTCGAAGTTGCCAATTAGCGTGATTTTGCGCGAACTGTCGGCGAGCTTGTCTATGTTGAATTGTTAGACGCACAGCCCGAACTGGTCGGCGTGATCTCAAATTGGCTTCCAACAACCTATTTCTTACCGTCTGGTCGGAAATTTCTACACCAGTAGCCGTCCTTAGTGTATTTTGTAGATCTCTTGCAGTTGTGGTGCGGTTACGTAAAGCACAGTTGACGATGTAGCGATCTTGCAAACGTGTAGTTTTTCTCTTTCGACCTTGACCACGCCTTCGTGAGTATTCTCCCGTCTCACGGTATCGCTTCCAAAGTCTGTAGATAACAGAAGGGGCTACTCCTAGATCATTTCCTACATAACGCATAGTTCAACCCTCTTCAAGCAAAGCGATAGCTCGGGAGACATGCAATTCAGTCAGATCTGGCATTATGACCTAAACTCACTCGCTTCAATAACAATACTCAAAAGGCTCACTTCAATTTCTATTAATACTCAAAAGATTGAAAAAAACTACTTAAAATGTGTTTTCTGTGATTAGAAAGTAATGAAAATTCAAAGACGTCACTTTGTTTTTAGGTGTTTCTAGACACACTGCCACTTTATTATAGGACTACTAACCAAAACGCCGATGCTCTTTTGTTTTTTATTTTCTTCGACAATGCCTTAACATTATCTAGTGGCCAGTAATAATTAAAACCTTAAGTAAAAAGTTTAGTTCTACTTTAAAGTTTTGTTCCCGTAATTGTTTTGAGCAGTATATAATAATAGGTTATGTTTAAATTTTTGTGTGTCAAATGTGATAACCCTACATTAGCTCCAGTCCTAACGAACGATATTCTACGTTAAATAAGCTTGTACGGTATTAATGACCTCACCTGGATAGTATATAGCCTCTTTCCGCACTGCGTACTTGGCTTGCGGTATCCTAAGTGTGCATATGAACTCAGCCGCGGACGGCAGGTCAGCGTCGAGTAGCGTCACCGTCGCCACAGCGGAATACCGCCCATTGACCAGCTTTAGGTGATGTGATACGCCATCTAAGTGCCTGAAAAAGTTATAACAATGTTATATTTGATGCATAGACCTGACGAACAAAGTACCCTATTGAGAGTCTCTTAATTGAAATATAACTATATGATATAACACATTATCTTATTGTCTAATATCACTTATACAATAACATATGTTAAATAAACGGGTGTTTAAATTACAAAATCAAATTCTAAATTATTGAGTCTTGTTAAGAGGGTACCAAAAACAACAATTTTATTTATACTTTATAACCTTAATCAAAAACATACACATAACAAAGATAAAAAAGCAGGTTACAAAAGTTATAAGGCAACGGGCGGCCTTATCGCTAACAAGCGATTTCTTCCAGGCAACCCTAAAGTGGAACAATGAAAAAGAAACACCTACAGAGGGAAGGTAGAGTACAAGTAAAAAAAACTCAAAATAACACGTAACTATAACTAAAATAAAATAAAGTGAAATCTAATAATAAAATAACAATAATAATAAAAATATATAGAAACAAAAATTTAAAATACAATCAAAACGTTAACAGAGTCACAATAATTAATACATATAAGCACAGCTAATTACGAGGCAGAAAGAAAATGATCAGAAAAAAGCTCTTTAAATAAATTTAAGGACTGAGCTCAATATATATACGAAACAGAAAACAAATAAGTACATTAATAAACAAAATTACATAAAGAAAACTGAAAACGTATGTACACTGGTATAATATACCCACGATTCTAAGCTCTCAAGGCCATTGTCGTGCACATGGAACGTTTTGTAATCATTTGTTCTGTCTAATAAGCAAGTAGATCATCACCCCTTTGTGTCTGACGCGCACTGTCGATTTTTAAGTTAAGGCATGCCGGTTTTGTCACGATGTTTTCCTACACCGTACGAGCGACTGTTGAATGCACACGTATACAGGATACGACAGTAGCACGCTGATGAACTGAACTGCTGATGAATGGCTTCAGCCATTAGACCAACACAGCTGATTTATATTAGCATTCAAATGATTAATCTTCATTAAAAAGCAAAATTAATGTTAGGTGGGCAGAGGCAATTGAGTCCAAGGGGAGGCGCTGGCGGTAAGTTTGGACATAGCGAAAGCCTTCGATCGGGTGTGGCACAGAGCACTGCTCTCGAAGCTTCCAGCCTATGGGCTTCCCGAGAAATTATGCGATTGGATCTCCAGCTTTCTGGCCGATCGGAGCATCAAGGTCGTCATCGACGGAGCATGTTCCGACCTTAAACCTGTGAACGCTGGGGTCCCACAAGGCTGTGTTCTATCCCCGACCCTATTTCTTTTGCATATCAATGATATGTTGCAACTTAGCAACATTCATTGCTATGCGGATGACAGCACTGGGGATACTTTTTACACTGGCCGGGCAGGTATTTCTCGGGCAGTTGTTGATGAGTACCGGAACAAACTTGTGTCTGAAGTCGAAACTCTACTACGTGGAGTCTCAGACTGGGGCAGACAAAACCTAGTCCAATTTAACCCCAAGAAGACACAAGTTTGCGCGTTTTCCGCTAAAAAATCACCCTTTGTCGCTACTCCTCTTTTCGAAAACACTCTTCTTAAAGCCACAGCCAGCATTGGAATACTTGGCGTTGACATATCGAACGACGTTCAGTTTCGCGGTCACTTGGAGGGAAAGGCTAAATTAGCCTCCAAAAAGCTTGGTGTGCTCAGCAAGGCGAGGCGGTACTTCACTCCGGGCCACCGCATGCAACTATATAAAGCGCAAATTCGGCCCCACATGGAGTACTGCTCTCACCTCTGGGCGGGGGCTCCCCAGTACCAGCTCCTTCCACTTGACCGTATACAACGCAGAGCGGTTCCAATCGTCGACGACCAATCCCTCTCCGAGCGGCTTGATCCTTTGGCGTTGCGTAGAGATGTGGGGTCACTCTGCATCTTCTACCGCATTTACCATGGAGAGTGTTCAGAGGAGTTGTTCGGATTAATACCTGCAGCTGAGTTTCATCATCGGACGTCGAGACAGAATACGAAATTCCACCCGTATCACCTCGACGTCCGCCGTTCCACAACTGAGCGTTTTTCAAGGCAGTTTTTGCCGCGCACCACCACTATGTGGAATCAGCTGCCCACTGAAGTATTTCCGAACCAATTCTACTTAGGGTCCTTCAAGAAAAGAGCGTACCAATTCTTAAAAGGCCGGCAACGCACTCGCGAGCCTTCTGGCATTGAGAGTGTCCATGGGCGGCGGTGTCACTTAACATCAGGTGAGCCTCCTGCCCGTTTGCCCCCCGTTCTATAAAAAAAAAAAAAAAAAAAAATAAATTACACTGTTTAGTATGAGTGATGAAGTTTGAAATACATATCAGTATTTTTTTTTAAAGTATACTACAATAATTCAAAGTTTTGAAGTGAAACTTCTCTAGGGTAAAAATTTTACGGATGAAACGCAATAATAATTTTTAATTTAATTTAATTTAATTGTTTAATTCAGAAAACAAGGTTCCATAACAATGTTAGTAAATTACAGCTTAATACCTTAAATCTAAGTGTTAGTATGTTTACATTAATTCATACCGGAATCATTCCGCATGAAATAGAGGAACAGTGATTCAGGTATGGGCAATCGACTCGGTCCGCGATAATGCGGAGGATACCGTTACCGCTAGCTCTCACCCTGCGCACCAAGGATGCACATCTCTTGCGTATGGTGGCGTAAAAACAATCCACCCGCGCCTCAGCAAACATCCCCGATGCGCTTCAGAATCGAGGCAGCCGCAACAGCACCCTGAACGCATTATTATATTGGATACGGAAAGCGTTGTATGACAATCGAGTATATTTCGACCATAAGGCGCTCGTATAGAATGATGTGCAGAATGCTCTAAACAAGGTTACTTTCACATCATAATAATATTAGCTTCACGAAGATGTGCAGCGTTTTTTTCGAAGAAAGGGGAGAGAGCGATTGAGAGAGAGAGAGAGAGTGAGTGAGAAGGGCGAATTACCTTATAGAAATTCAATTTTAAAAATTAAAATTCCGGAAAGAGAATTTATGAAATATTAGTATTTTACATTTTATGCAAAATAATATATTGAAATCTCAAATGACGAATTGTTTATTAAAATGCCACGTGATTTTATTATCGAAGAAATAAATTTAAAAAATTAAATATAAAATTTTTATTAATTTTCGACACTATTAATATTTTAATGACAATTAAATTCAGTAAATTCCTAACATATGTCCCTTTTTCCCTCCCTCTAAGTCTCGGAAATGTAAAGTTTTAGATTTGTATAAATATGAACAAGATATAAATTAGTTAGCCAAAGAAGTTTCACTTCTGGCATGTGTACTTTGTACGCTCGCACTTTTTTTTATTTCGATAACGAATTCTAGTGTATAGCAATGGGCACGAATCAATTGTTATACATGATTATATTACTATATTAAAAATAAGCTATATCGCTAAGAAACGTACAATAGCATATTAATTTCACGGGGACAAAATTTATAATTCTAAACACGAGTTTAAATCCAAACCGTAATTATTCCGCAATCCGTTTTAAAAATTTATTGCCGACATAACGGGGAAAATTTCATATATCAAACGGGTTATGAAAATGACATTTAATAAAGTAATTTGGGAGGCGCTGGCAGCATCCCAGGTGACATAGGCTCTTAGTTTTAATCACCGATACCTTGCCAAGTACACGGCTAGTTCTTTATAATCTTAACCTAAATTTTAATGTAAAATCACGTCACATTTAATTGCACTCCTTAAATTAAAGAAGTCTTTTGTTTCTTTCTGTCAAATTGTATTTACGCTGTGCTGAAAAGAGACAGAACGGTGCCTGATTTTTTATGAATCAGGAGGTTTATTGGTATGTTCAAGAACCCCTTGTGTATTAAGAACAAGCGAAGAAACTAAGCCGAGTATAGCGAGAATAATTCATGAAAATTTATGGAACCTGAGGATTTTTAAATCTTTTTATAGTTTGGGACGAGGCTTAGTGCTGAGTGCTAAGTCTAAGATACCATAGATATAAGATAAGATACGCTACGTCTCAACAGTCAACTTTACCCTAAAGAAAAAGTGCGTGCGTACAAAGTAGGTACACATGTCAAAAGTGAAACTTCTTTGGCAAATTTTGTTCATATTTATACAAATCTAAAATTTTCGATTTCCGAGCCTTAGAGGGAGGGTTAGGGAGGTGCGTGACATTCGCTCTATCTCACTCTCTCTCTCTCGATCTATCCACTTGCTTTCTCCCTACTCTCGCTCCATGGCTATTTGCTTCATGCTACGTTCGCCCTTTCTCACTCACTCTCTCAATAGCTCTCTCCCTTTTCTTCGACAAAAACGCTGCACATCTTCGTGACGCTAATATTATTATTATTGCGTTTCATCCGTAAAAAATTTACCCTCATGCGCCTAAAGAAGTTACACTTCAAAAATATTTTTTTAGTATTATTAAAACTTAATCTAACTAAATGGCTTTTAGCGCTTAAGACCTAAAGAACTGAGTCTAAATAAAACGATCCTTGACAAAGCGTACAAGAAAATGTGTAATTAATGTTCACAGTATTACAGCCTCATACGTATTTCAAAAGAATTAAGCAGTGCCTTTGACGCATAGAATCACATTATATTCTTTACAAAAACTTTTTGTATGAATGCTGCGAAGCCGACACCATTGAAAAGAATTATTTTAATTACGTACCTACTTTTGTTCCAACATTAATCACTGACTGTATAATTATTAAAATTACAACCCCCATTTTAAAAAAGGAAACACTAGATGTTACTATTTATTGTAATTATAAACTACTGAGAAGATTTAAAAATAAAACATGAGTGTGTTATACTTCTTCGGCGTAACAAGTTAAAAATCTTTTAAAAAAATTTATATTTCGCCTTACTCTACGTTTGTAGAAGAAATGACACTAATAATAGAATAAAGGTATTTAATACATTAAAAGTTTTATTATAACTGCATTATCTATTTAAATATCAAAAAAAAAAATTCTA